TGGGATATTGTATATCATGAACTTTTAGAATGACTTCTTTTATTTGATCGTCTATACGTCTTTCGGACCAGTTTCTAGGACATGCACATCACTTTTSACATCRCTTATTTTCTTTTATGATGTATATCTCCTTTCGCTGGTCAATGTTGAATTTTAATAAAACTTATTWYTTTTTTTTGGCGCAGGYAARTCTCYGTCGCACCATGGCTATGGGACACGCTCTCAAATGAAAAWGTTGGAACAAACTRTCACTAGCGATACCACAAATGGTGCTGTCGTTGTAACATCCAAACAACAAGGAGCCCACTCAAAGCGATTGAGGAGGAGCACAAAACAAGATGGATCAAATATTGAAATTGAACATATTGCTGCTTATAATATGGTGTCCGATCAAGATGGAGGTGCCCATCAACAAGAAAGCACGCTCGACGATGCTGAAAAAATGTGTGTTGATTCTTATGACGATAGTCGTGAACAGCATCAGAAAAGTGTGCCTGCTCATGAAAAGCGTCAGGAAAGTGTGCCTAATTATTCGTTGCATTTGGATGGTAAGAATCGCCTCGATGATGAAGACGACGATAGCTAGACAGATGATTCTCAAGCGGTTCATTCTACAGCCAAGCGTAAACGTGTCAATAATGAAGACACGACTCTCGTGGCTTCGACTCCAATTAATGATGATGAATTGACCTTTCGAAATCGTCAAACGAGGGAAAAAACTACTCAAGGAGTTGTTACACCTGTGCATGGTCGTAATTCAAGTTCACGATCCCAACGTTCTGCACAAGGAAAGAAATCGTCCGCCGTTGCGACAAGTACAGTTCCCGACGGTGTGAGTTCAACAATGAACACAACTAATGTTGTTCATTCGGCTGTAATGTTCGAGCCTGCATTGGCTACTAATAGGGAGGAACAACAACCGGTTCCTAGGGAAATAGCAACTCAGATTTTGAGAGCTCTAGAGGGGATCCGTGCCGATGAACTTGCACCAGGGCCGTTTTGTGGACGGCTTGCCGGACGTGCGCGTGTTACTGATTCGTGTTCGCAATCTCAACGTAGTCAACGCGAAAAAAATGTTTGTCGTACATCAGAACCGCACACTCCTTCGAATGTTATTATGGTGCCCGATGATGACAATGCCCCTACAGTCCGCACTCCAAGTCCACTCACTTATCTTGCTAGGTGGTTCGACCACGCGAAAAAGGTTGGCATGCAAAAAATCTTGACTGAGATGCTCTTTGAAATGTTTGTCAAAACTGCAACAGTCGCAAAGGATGAGAACATATGGAAGAACTTCTTGGAATGGCAACGAAACAAACTCACTAATATGCGGTTGGAACGACGATGCACTCTTCCTTCAAACGCGTTGGATATTACGGATTTAGAGGCTTCTTGGATGGTACAGTCGCTTTTGCATGATGAGTGGCTTGCACTCTCTAATGAGGAAATCACGAGGATGACAATTGATTTGCCACATTGTCCGACAGAAGGGCATATTCCTCTACCTTTTTTCAGACATGCACGGATACAATGTCTTTCAAAAAGGATTCCTCCGATGGTTGCTTCTTCCGCTCCTCATTCCGCTCCGGTCCAGATGCTCGCTCTTCCAGCAGCATCCCCTTCAACTTTTCTACGTCTTGGGGATTGTGCTCCGTCATCCATCGTGTCAACGCCGATTGTCACTACTTCTGTTGTTGTTACAACTTCGCCTGCCACTACGTCTACTCCATCTCCTCTCAGTTGTATTGTGGCCACTCCCACGCCGTCGAGGGACCATCTCCATATCCATACAAGACCGTTGGAAGAACCAAGTTCTTCTAATTTTAACATTGCGATTTATGACTCTCTTGAATCTATTGGTCCCCAAAAGACACTTGCACACCTGTCCTATCTTGACAAATCTCACAGGGTACAAGATATTGTGGAAGCAGCAACGGACTTGAATACAGACATGAACACTTGGAGATGTGTCGATGCTGCCATTCATCTCGACTACAATCGACAAAGACAGGGTTGATTTGAAACTTTTGATGAGTATCGTCGCAAAGTTTTGCAACAGGTTTCTACTCGTGAGGTGTTGCAGGAGTATCGTTCGAATGAAGGAAGTTGACAGGTCTAATAAGAGAGAGAGGAAGAGAGAGGTGTTGATTGGGAATCGTTCATGCATTGCCTTAATGACAAATTTCTTTTTGATTGTCAGCTTTTGTTTCGGATAAGCAGTTGCCCTTACAAGACAAATATGAAGAGAGAGACAAATAAAGGCAGGGGTGGGGGGAAGGGGGTGACATAGAGATAGATAGATAGATAGATAAATAGATAGATAGATAAATAGATAGATAGATCGGTAGATCAATAGATCGAGAGAGAGAGAGAGAGAGAGAGAGAGAGAGAGAGAGAGAGAGAGAGAGAGAGAGAGAGAGAAAGAGAGAGAAAAAAAAAGAGAGTGAAAAACAATGTGGCCTTAACATTATTGTGTTGTTTTAAGTGAAGGTGGATTCAATTGAGTAATAATTATGCATTGACCATATTCAATCTCCATAATGTTCATATTCAACCTTTTTTTTTTTTTTAATGTCTTCCTCTTATCTTTCTTTATTCTTTGCTCTTTTATTGGTGCTCTATCTTTCTCTTGATCTCAATGTCTTTCTATCTCTCTATATCTATCCATCTCTCTTTCTTT